TGATTAGGGAACTGAAGATGAGCAGTGTCTGACGAGGGGGAGATTTGTATCTCCGTCAAGAATAAAGCCAAGGGGAAGAAGATTGTAGAAAGTGGTGTGCCGAATTAACGTTTCGATTTAAACCACGAACGTTGATGAGTGATGTGGAGTGCTTTGAGTTGGAAAATAGAGCACGCATTTCTTGATTTCTGTACGTTGTATTGATATGCGGTGTGAGAGAAGATCGGCAACCCAACCCTGAGACTTGAAGTGGTAAACCACGTAAGGCCTCAATATGTTGAGCGTGGTAGTGAGTCGGGCGACAGTGTTCTAGGTGCGGGCGAACCATTGTCTTCTAAATAGGTATAAAGATCTCTGCTTTTCTACAGGTAATCGTAGCACAACCTGAAGAGCTCACCACGGGCCTTATTGGCTGTCTTCAGGCATTGTGTTTCGGGCTCTTGGTGAGAATAACTTCCAAGTCCTTAATCACCTCTGTGGGCTGCAGTGGCAACTGTCCGTCCTGGGCGGTACCAGCACCTGAGGTTAAAATTAGGAACTTTTCGAGATTTAGTGGTAAGTCCCAAGGAATCGACCATTGTCTAACCACTTCTATGTCGCACTCTAGGTTTGCCTTAGCTATTTTCACATCGTCCACGAATAGGAAACAGGGACTTTGGGGGTCCCGTGTCAAGTCGTTGATGGGAATTCGTACTGATCCTTCTCGACACTTCCTTAATGGCATCTGGATGCGAACGGGACCTTGGGGTGCTGGTTTCCATGTCGTTAAAATCCAGGGAACAGACAAAGCCTGTGCCTCGAGTTGGAGGATCCTCGGAGCTATTGACCATTTCTTTTCCAAAATTTCGTACGACGGTTTCAGGTTTCTGTACACCTCTTATGTCCGAACTCGCTTGGAGTTTGCGAGCGCCGCGGTATATCCGTGTACAACAACCGGATTTATAAAGCTGGAAGGGGTTCAAAGAGCCCCAACTGGCCTTATCGCTGGGTTACGTGGACGTTGCTTTGCTGAACGATTGCAGGCCAGTGGACTGTTCCTGGAATCATATCGCCGAGCTCGTGGTGATATCATTTGTGTGCGGCGTATTCCACGTGGTGACGTGGGCCCAGAGCTAATGCAGTACTTTCCTCTGCGCACTCAGAACAGGACACAGGTTCACATTGTTGAAGGTTTCATCAATCGGATTACCCCTCAGATACCGACTGTCGCGGAGGGTAACCAACCTATGGAACTTCCCTCCAGCTGACGTGGTGGATGAGGTCAATGATTGCACGTTAAGGAGGAAGATCGCCTGCGTTCTTCGCAAAAAGTAGTATGATATGCATCCATGACTGGAATGTATACCTTGAGTCAGTGGAGACCAGGCTTATACGGAAGGTTTCCTACTGCATCTGATTGACTTGCACGGACCATTGGCCTTCATTCGAAATTTTAGTAACCTCATCCAAAAAGGTTGGCAGGTTAGTCAGGCGTGACCTTCTCTCGGTGAACCCCTGCTGTGCTGGTGCCAACAAGTGGGTTGTTAGGTGCTTTCGTGTTTGCCCGTCATGATCCGTTCCAAGCATATGCACAGCGCAGATGTCAGACTAACCGGTCGGTAGCTGCTTGCCTTATGCCTAAGTCCTGAGTTGTATACAGCGACAACCGTTGCTATTCGTCAGTCCTCCGGTAGTACTCCTCACCTCGGAGATCGCTTAAATAACATGCTTTCCGGATGTGCCAGAAGCCCTGCTCGTGGTCGGGTGTATTCCATCCGGTTCTACAGCCCTGTCGATTAAGTGACGCAAGCTCTCTGATTGTCACTAATTGATTAATATTTCACCAATCGTTTATATATTCAAACGTGGTGCAGTGAGCTCTTTAGCATAGGCTGTCGGTATATATTCTTAAAGAAGGCTAAAAGTGTTTGCTTTGCCTTAGTTCGCTGCGGTTCAGTTCAGTTAGCCTACCTCCACTAATCTCCAAGGCGCCCACACTTTATTTCATATTGTTCTTGGCTTGCACGTAGGCATAGAAACTCTTGGTATTATGCTTGATGTGCTGCGCAAAATTCCTTTCGTATATATATATATCCTCTCCTTGTAGAGCCTGTCTTTTTGCGGGCTGTCTTCCTTTGACACCATGACTGAGATGTGCCATTTATTCCATAATTTGCCAGCATCTTCCGCGTGATTAAAAGACTATCAAATTTAAAGAAAAAGCGCGAAAAACACTTCAAATAAATTTTTTTAAATAATTTATTTCAAAAATATTGATGGTAGAGGGCTTCGCTGTCGTCCAGTTCAATACCACACCAAACCTATCGAGGCCTTTTGTGGTTCGCCACTCCAAGTCCCAAAACTCAGGTTACAGATTTACATGACGTAGTGTAGTGTATCAAGGCAGAACGAACTGGCCGCTCCTAACCGTAACTCTCCTCTCGGTTGCCTTCCAGGTATTTCAGCACCAGTTTGGCACGAACAACCGAAAGAAGACCTGAACGAGATAGATCGAAACCAAGACGAGAACTGACATCATTGTTAAAATGACCGACTATTGAGTTTATCGATTTGTATATACGTTTTGAATTGCATCCCCGCGACTGCG